ACACCATGAACCGTCGATCTAGAACTCTGCATCGCCGGTCCTCCCAGAACCGGTCGACCGAGCCGTTCCTCAAATACCTAAAGCCCGGCGCGCTCGCCCAAATCCGAGACTCGCGAATCAGCAGCGCCAGATCGCACCGGCTCAACTGGCTCTCTCAGATCTGTACGTCGCCGCCTTCTTCTCCGGCGAACGACGCTGGTCTTCCACAGGTCAACGCCATCGACGGCTTTCCTTGCTTCTCCGGTCGGATCTATGGCCCCAGATGCCCTCAGAGAAAGAAACTCGCGGCGTCCAAGTCCGTTCTGTTCCTCAACCCCTCGAGCCCGGTTCACGACTCGCCCGATCCGATAATTGATGTGTTTAGTACGGACATTCTTGCTGCACATTGAATGAAAATTGATAGAATGTTCTCTTGAACCTTGTTGTAGATTAGTTTTTATTTGTAGTTTATGGTGGTACTTTGGTAGAGAATTGTTTACATACAATTGAGATTATTAATAAAATTTACCGAAAAGTTCCATAACAGATGCGTTTTCCAGTGGTTGATTTATGATTTTGGTACTAATTTGGGATGCTTTAACCGTTTGATGTTGTGAACTAGTAGTGTTGTTTGGCTGCTTAATTATTCAACTTGTTTGCGCCGTAAATCGAATTGTTGCATTGGATAATCAAAGGAGAACAACGTGTCTTGTTTGTTTGATATTATGAACTCATCGGTGTTGTCATTCAATTGTGATAGGTTCGTCATGTTATGTCCAAAAAGGAGTGGTGTTTGGCTGCTTAATTATTCATCTTGTTTGCGCCGTAAATCGAATTATTGCGTGGGATAATCGAAGATGAACAATGTGTCTTGCCTGCTTGATATTATGAACTCATTGGTGTTGTCATTCAGTTGTGATAGGTTCATAATGTTATGTCAAAAAAGGAGTGGTGTTTGGCTGCTTAATTATTCATCTTGTTTGCGCCGTAAACGTGTCTTGTGTGTTGGATATTATGAACTCATTGGTGTTTGTCATTCAATTGTGATAGTTTCATAATGTCAGTGGTGTTTGGCGGCTTAATTGTTCATTTTGTTTGCGCCCTCAGATTGAACAATTGTTAGAGTTGAGTAATGTGCCCTGTTTTCCATAGATGGGTTTCGCTGGGAGACAATTGAATTGGTAGTACTGATAAAGAAAGGAGGATTCTTTGGTATGATGGCAGCTCATTTACATCACTACATGTTTTTCACTTGTTATGTTTTCTTGCTTGGTGATAGTTGTAGCTCATGTGTTTGTTGTGTGCAATGTGATTTAAGTCCACTAGGAACTAGGTTTGTTCTGATTTGGTTGCTTGCAAAAAGAGAAAGACTGGAGAGGGAAAAACTGTTGCAAACTCTGCCCATCAATGTCTTCCCTTTGTTGCAGGCTTTAAGTTCTGTTTTGGTACTACATTGATCTGCTTGAACTGTTTGGTGTATAGAACTCATTGCGTTTGTGTCATTCAATTGTGATGGGCTCACGATGTTATGTGAAAATTACTTTAATTGTGATTTTTTTTTTACTTCTTAATTGTTCATCTTTCGTTTAAGCCGTAAGTCGAGTTATTGTAGCAGTCCAAATAGGTAGTACTGGATCTACTGATAAAGAAAGAACGCTTTGTTCATGTTCTTTTCCATGTTCTTGTTCATTCATGTATATGTAACTGCTGCTATTCTTTGCCTACCATTGTGATAGTTTTAAATATCATTTATTCAGTTCTTGGCACTTCATATGTAACTGCTGCTATTCTTTTGGTGCATCTTGAGAACTCGAACAATGTTGAAGTAATTCCTCTTTTTTGTTATGCAGTTCTTGGCACTTCATCCCTAGATGTTGTCTTTGTCCATGGCGTTGTTTCTTTAATTGTGGTTTCACTGTACTAACATTTACAGCTGTATCCTAGTTTAATTTATTATTATTTTTTATTATTAAATAAAAACTTCATTAGATAAATTTCAACGGTACAATCAAAGACATCAACAAGACATCTAAAATACCAATACTAAGATAGTAACAAACTAACATGTTAAAAGCAAAACTAACACAAAAGTCGCACTAAAACTACTAGCCTACATCATCACAATTAGTCACAAGTCCAAACAAAGTCCACAAACCCAACATAACTAAAACCCTAAATCAACCCGTGAGCCTAAACGAACCCTACCACCACCATATGAAGAAGCGCCGTCGCGGCCACACCCACCACCACATCCGTAACAAATATGGGAAAAATATGATTTCCAGTGATCTATCTGCACATAAGAGCGAACAAATAAATGAAAACAACAACTTTGCCAAAGAACAATTGGGTGATTTGCAGCAACCTCCATAAAAAATGATGGAGAATCAAATTTAAAGAACATGGGCGGTGTTAGGGAGTAGGATTTGATTAAAAACATAGACCAAAAAGGGTGATGGGGAACTTCAATCTAACCATGACTTAGAAGAAACCACCATAAGGGGCTTTTTACTCAAAACGACATATGTGGACTTATTCACTAACCTAAAAGGAAAAGTCGAGAAGAGATGAGGGAGAGGAAGGGCAGTGACGCTTATTCACTAGTCTTTTTAGCTAAAATTTAACTTGAAAAAAGGGAAGCATGTTAAATTTGGAACATTGTGTAGGGGCTTTTTTGTTCCAGCAGCTGCAGATGTGCTTGGGCTGCTGTAAAGAGCAAATGGGTAGGGTTGCTCCTATGTCTGAGTTCAAGAATCATACCCTAAGAGTGCTTCGACAAGTTCGTGAAGCCTTAAGAAGCACTTTGGTTTCTTTCACCAACAAAACAAGCAGCTGCTTACAGATCAATATTTTGGCTTGGCTTGAGTGAGGATGCTTGCTCACTTTGGATGTGATGATCTACTTGGTAGGATATGCCCTCTTTTATAGGCGCTGAAAGCTCATTCTTTCTAAGAAACCCTAGATGATTCTCCCAAAATCTGCCAAGTCTTCTCCTCCATTTCTCTTATCTTTCTTTGATTCAACCTTTTTTTTTATATGAAATCTCCTTAATCCAAACTGTGAACCAGGTATCCTTCCCTAGATGACGTGTCGTTCCCTTAAGGTTGGGGTGTATTTTGTGGAGGACCTGCACACTAAGAACAACTATTAGGATAGGAGCAAACTGGGGATGATCCCAGTAGAACCCCCTCCGATGGTGAAGTTAGGTAAGGTAATAGGGTGATGATAATGTATGTAGGGTTTACTTTGTGAGAGTAGTTATTAGAGATCTTTTTTTCTTTATCTCTACGTTTGGATTTCATTAAATGGTTACCATGCTACTTGGACAAGGGTTTGGTGGTAAAGTGACAGGTGAACGAGGATGAGATGTGTATTAAATGATCAATTCCCATCATCAGCATGTAAGAACGTAGAGTGAAGGGTAGGGCGACATCTGGCTTCAGATGGGAAATGCAATAACTGATCCCTTTGCTTGCCAGGCTGTTTTATCAAGCAGATGGAGTGACTGATCTGACAAGTATATGGTCAAGTTTCTCCGGGTATTTCTGGTCATATATTGTTCTACAGTGATTGGCTCGGTATCAGTTTGACCCGAGCGCTAGTTTACTTGGCGCACTTCGTTTGGTTGGTTCGATGCTTAGTCAAATCGGGAAGAAATTACAACCACGTGGCGACCTATGATAGGCTCGGCTCACTACAATAGTTTGAGGAGTTAACACAAACATACTAGGACAAGATTTTTCGGAGCTCTAAAGTCTTCCCGCAGCTGTCTTTATGGCACATTCCTATCTCTGGCAACACTATCTCATTCTTTCCTTCCTTATTTTCTGGCAAGAGTTGGTTGGGGAAAGAAATGGGTAAAGGCGCTAGTTTGAAGGGTGTTTTACTCCCAGCAGCCTGCACACATGAATATCCTTTGGTTTTAAAGATGGTTTGTCTTAGATTTGGCTTTAGTCATGTGCTGGAGGTTTCTTGATAAATTTTTCAAGTTGTTGGGCCACTTCCTAAGGTGATGGGCCACTTTTACTAGGGTGATGGGCTACTTTTCTCTCTTTTATGCTTACCCATATGTTTGGGCTTAAGAAATAGGCTCGAGTTTTGGTGCTCTCAAACAGCCCAAAATTTCCACTTCTTGGCTCATCAATGGGCCTCGTGAATGCCCATAACCATCCATACCACAATCTGCTCAACAAGCTTCAGGTATTTGCGTGGCTTGGGTCCACTTAATCTTGTAGCGTGGCTTGGTGCAAAAATAAAGATTTTCCGTTTGGTGTTGTGTGTTATTTAGCATGCTTGTGCTCGAGCTTTGCTATATTGTAAAGGGTTATGGCTGGGCCAAAATGGCTCTTGACGGGATAATAAGCACGAGTTCATAGAGCTAGTACATTTTACAGGTTTGTCACGACCTTTCTGCGTGGTGGGTTATGTATTTGCTTGGCGTGGCACGTGGACCATAACTCGTGCAAACGTGCACGACGAACTCTTGCATACCCAAGTCGGGCTTCTTCCCTAATTAGGTGTCGTACCGGACTGGAAATATATTTGGGCCCAACCTTGTAAGCAAATTGATTATTATGAAAACTGAAACCGAAGCAGAAAAAAATTCTAATGGATCATGCCAATGATGAGTATCCCTAATGCTCGATTATCCCTAAAGATACATGCTCGATTAGTTCACTGACTTCATTCAAGTTTGAATCCCGTCAAAATTAACGTCACAACACGTTTTGGCCCAAAAGCCGAAACCGTCACAAACTGGATAAATAGATTGGCACGTAAAGCTGAGTTGGGTTCAAACTTAAGGTCCAAGTCCAAGACCAATCATTCTACTGGGTTGGTTGATCCACTAACGAGCCTCGACTGGGTGGAGTCTATGAACCAGCAGAGAGCCACGGGTCCAATAACTCTCAACTTCTCAAGTCAAGCACGCAGCCTCTTTTTAATTTTCTTCATAAATTGTAGTACCATTTCAATTTCGTTTCCCTCCGCACCACTAAACTAAAGAAAAGAAAAAAAAAAAAAAAAAGGTAACAGAATGGAAAACGACACCGTATACTGGTAATAGTCCTTGCTTTGATCGGGTTGTTGTCCCTTAGATCAGTGTGCTGCGTGCAGCTCTGCGTAACTACTAAGCGAATTATTAGACGTTTGTGAAGTCACAGAGAGAAAAAAGCAAGCATCAATGGCTGAACCCAAAACCAAATACGATCGCCAGCTCAGGTACTGTTTCTCTCTCTCTCTCTCTCTTCCCCACTTTACCGCTTTCCCCTCCTCCAGCATTTCACTAATTCCGTGAGCTCCACTCTCCACTCTCAGCTCGGTCAAGCTTTTTTGCTCTAGCTATTAGCTTTTTTGTTTTGTTCTGTTTTTCTTTTGGGTCACTGGCTTCTATGTGCTTACGCTTAATTGAAATTGCAGAATCTGGGGCGAGCAAGGACAGACAGCCCTAGAGAAAGCCAGCATATGCTTACTGAATTGCGGTCCTACTGGTTCCGAAACCTTGAAGAACCTTGTTCTTGGTGGGGTTGGAAGCATCACCGTCATTGATGGATCCAAAGTTGAATTGGGTGACCTTGGAAACAACTTCATGGGTATGTTTTCTCTAGTTGTTGCTGCGTTTGATTGCCCCTTTTGAGTGTCCTTTCCTCTCATATTGATTGGATATTTTGGTAGTTGATGAATCAAGCGTTGGCAAATCGAAAGCGAAATGTGTTTGTCAGTTTCTTCAAGAGCTAAACGATGCTGTTAAGGCCAAGTTTATAGAAGAGTATCCGGAGGCTTTGATTGAGACAAACCCATCATTCTTTTCTCAGTTTACCTTAGTTGTAGCCACTCAGGTATGGGCTGCTGATGCCAATGTCTTTGCATAGAGTATGGTTCAGTACATATTTCTATTTTGTGATTTCTATAGTCAGAGTTGTTAATAGAAATATCTTTGACTGCGGTTTTCTAATTTTACCATCAGCTAGTGGAAGATTCAATGGTAAAGCTTGATAGAATCTGCAGGGAGGCAAATGTGATATTGGTCTTTGCTCGCTCTTATGGCCTCACTGGGCTGGTTCGTATCAGTCTGAAGGTAATGCGTTTAAGTTTGTTGTTGGAGATGTTTTCTCTGTCTTGGTATTCTGGAACTTGAGGATTTAGCTTTTGTACTACAATTGAAGAGAGTAATGGAAATTGTGAGGAATGAGAATTGATGTTCCTCCAGAGCTGTGTCCTATTTTGAAGCTTGATAGTTTAATGATCAGAGGCTTTTTTCTGATTGATTACTTCATAAGAAAAGGAACGTGCTTTGGAACTTGCTTATATGGATATCTAGACGTAAAGGTGAAAAATGGATCTTAGAAAGTTATGATTATAAATATTTGTATTTGAACCTAAATAGTGCTTTTCTCCATTTTCTCTATGTTTTTTTTGGGGCAGGAACATACTGTGATTGAGTCGAAGCCTGAACATTTTCTGGATGACCTTCGTTTAAATAATCCATGGCCTGAGCTTAGAGGGTACAGAATTCTATTTTTTTAAATATGTTTTTATCTGAGACATTTTCCATGATACTTTTTTGGATTTCTGATATTAAGTATTTGTATGTTGTCTTTATATTATTTGGTTTTGGCCTATATAAGCTGATGATTGGCATTCTGGTTTCTTAGCCCATATGGGTGTGTTTCCTGACACCATGAGTTTAGTTTTCAGAAACCTGATTTTCAATCTATTATTTATTGATGGTAGGTTTGCAGAAACCATTGATCTAGATGTGACAGATCCTGTTGCCCACAAGCACATACCATATGTTCTCATTCTTGTCAAGATGGCAGAGGAGTGGTCCAAAAGTCATGATGGTAAACTTCCATCAACTAGGGAAGAGAAAAAAGAGTTCAAGGTTTGCCTGCTTGATTCATACATTTTCTGTTCGTTTTTATTCTTACATTTGCCCTCTAGCAATATGATTTTTTTTTTCCCTTGTGGTCTTGAATTTGTTAGGAGCATATCAAAGCTAGGATGACTTCCCTTGATGAAGATAACTATAAAGAAGCCATTGAGGCCTCCTTCAAAGTCTTTGCTCCACGTGGAATTAGTGAGTATATTTTCAAACATTGGTTGTAGTTTATTAGTATATTTTGCAGAAGAGTCTGTTGTATATTGACATAATTCACATAATATAATTAATCTGGCAAAAAAGATAAATGGCATCCTCCACATGTGTTTGATGACTTCTACATCTTTATAAACTTAGTGGTATTGCACTATACTTCTTTGTAGTTTGTCATCATATTGTGTTTTCGGCCTTGAATATTGATGAGTCAATAGCAGTCTGACTTTTGTGTTAATTTTTCTTCTTCTCATTTTATGTCTCAGGTTCAGATTTGCAACAGTTAATTGGAGATAGATTTGTGGAAGTTGATTCCAGTTCATCCGATTTTTGGGTGATGGTGGCAGCATTGAAGGTTTGTGAAACCAATATTGCATCAATTACAATTACAACTGTAGTGCGCTCAGGATAAAGTTATTGTTGCATAAATGCATATCTTCTAGAGTCTCTCAAACAGATTCTTTCTTTATTGTCAATCCTTTGTGATTGACAAGCCCTTCTGTTTTTCTGAAAAAACAACATATCAAGCCTATCATTTTCAAGACTGAAACTGTCTTTTAAGTGTTTTTTCAGTGATAATTGGCTGTGTTATGTTTAGGCAGTTAACCATATGTATTTCGCATAAATAGGTTGGGTCCAATAGATTCCTAGGTTTTCATATTCAAAGGGAATGCACAACTCATGTTCAGAGTTGTTCTCATGCTGAGTTTGTCTCCCTTGAATGCTTCAGGCAGACGTTTTAGTTTCCTATGAAGATTTCAGCCATCTTACAGTGGATGTATGAAGCTTGCCAATATTATTAAATTTTATTGTTGAGAAAATTAGATGCTCATAATTATCTTGTCCGATATCATATGGGATCTAGATCCATTTCATTGTCAATTTCTCAAGTTGTATAATCAAGAATCTTCTCTTTGCAGGAATTCATAGAAAATGAAGGTGGTGGCGAGGCACCCCTCGAGGGATCAATACCAGATATGACATCTTCGACAGAGTCAGTGATTGATCTTCCAATAATAGGATTCTATCCTTTCTTTTTTGTGCTTTTGAAAAATAATTTGTTGACACGAGCTCTATCAACTCTCTTGTAGGCACTATGTATGCTTACAGAAACTCTACCAAGCCAAGGCTGAGGCTGATTTTCTTGTTATTGAGCAAAGGGTTAGGACTATTCTGAAAAGAATTGGTAGAGATCCAAATAGCATCTCAAAGACAACCATAAAAAGTTTCTGCAAAAATGCAAGAAAACTCAAAGTAAGCGTTTTGAGTTCCACTTTATGCGTAACCTACATGTATTGCTTCATTAGTATTGTAAAGTATTTCTTTTACTTAAGCCTCTTGATGTTTGCCTAGTTGACTTCAATTGAACACTAATCTTTACTTTGTAGGTTTGCAGGTATCGCCTCGTCGAAGATGAGTTCAATTCTCCAGTCCTACCAGAGTTGCAGAAGTATCTAACAGATGAGGATTACAGGTACATTATGATTTACCATTGCTTTTAGATTATATTATTGCAGAACAGACTCAATAAAGGTTTTTGTATAGTTACTTTTTCTGTCAGTTAAGGAAACTGATATGTGAGTGCTGTGCCTGTGTGCTATTGTTATTCATTTAGAAAGTTTCCAATTGTCAAGTAGAAGACCCCTTGTTAGAAGGTTTCCAGTTGTCAAGTAGAAGATCCCTTGTGATTTGTTTTTTCTTGATAGATTTGAATATTATTTTTTCTTTTTATAAATATGATTGGTTTTTCTACCCTTGAATATAGTTTCTTAGACTTTACATGAGAGAAACTAATGGATATGGAATTTATGACTGAAAAGAAAGGAAAGAAGGTTGTATAGCTAGAAGGATTTGTTTTGCTTAAAATTCACTGTTTTCTTTAATTTCCATGACAGTGTTGCTGGTGGGTTTTATATTTTGCTCAGAGCTGTTGATCGGTTTGCTGCCAATTACAACAGTTTTCCTGGGCAATTTGATGGGTAATGCCTGATACTGTTAACGACCATGTTATGATACAAACTTGTAATATTTGTACTGATTCATGCTCACTCCCTCATAGTGTGATGGATGAGGACATATCTCGGTTGAAAACTACAGCTGTTGGCCTGCTTAATGATTTAGGCTGCAATGGTGTAACATTAACTGAGGACCTTATCAACGAGATGTGCCGATTTGGTGCTGCCGAGCTCCATGCAGTTGCTGCTTTCATTGGAGGAATTGCATCTCAGGAAGTGATCAAGGTTTTTGTGTTTCTAGCGTTGCTTCATTTGATTGCCGTTATTTTTACAACCAGGGACCCAAATGATGGTCATTGACATTTAAAATGACATTTACTTTTTTTAACATGTCACTGACAGCTTATAACAAGACAATTTGTGCCCTTGTCTGGGACTTTCATCTTCAACGGCATCGATCATAAGTCTCAATTGTTGTCTCTATAGAACTTTCTAAAGCCAGAGAAGATTTAAAATGTCTGTAAGTTTTGACCTTTGGTAAACATCCATATCTAGAATTTATAATTTCTGTTTGAGGAGCAGACTCTAACCTAACCTCTGGTTTTCATTTGCAGATGATCTTTATAATTGGGATTGGGCAAATTAAAGTTTGATCTTACAGCTTTGTTGCATGCTATTTTTGGCACATTTTGAATGGAGACTTCCTTCCCGTTGGTGAGAGAGGCAGGATTGATCTTACAGCTTTGTTGCATGCTTGCAGTCACATGATATTGGAGTAGTTTTGTTTCTTATTCCATTATCCCCTGGATATGCGATGTAAGTCAGGCCAAAAAGAAAAGAAGATATGTGGGAGAGAGAGATCTATGAGAATGACTCTCCAATTTGCTTTAACAGAAAGGAAAATCTAATTATTTTTGGTGATTTTCTTTTATGTTGTTATTTTTGCCTCATCTATTTGATCAAATTTGATTAATGTGTTATGGACTACAAATTAACGTATTACAAAATTGATGAAAAATTGACGAATCATATCGTCTTCGGTAATACTATTTGGACACCCTTAATTAATCACATTAGATGAGCTGACTATCTAATTGCAATAAAATAAGAAATGAGTGAAAGCAATACTCAGATACTTAACTTTTGATAATACGACAACTATTTAATTAAGAGTACCAAATGCATAAAATTCAGAAATCAAAAGGAAAACTCACTTGAAATACTGGAAATAATGAAATGCACAACATGCACATTAAACCGCAAAATCAAAGAGATTCTTGCTCACATTAGCTGTGTATAAATAAGCTAGGAAGGTGTCTCCTTTTGGATAAAGCAGTAGCATGAATTTCTTCTGGGTTTCCTTGGCTCTTCCTTTTGATAGTCAGGATGTTCTTATTAATCATGTATTGAGCACCCCATCATTTTTCTAGAATTCAATGAAGTTTTCCCTTGTATTGCTGAGGTTCCGTAAAGAGAAAAATACCCCACAAAGTCTTTCAAAACGAGGAGAAATTTGTATTCTAAAGAAAACTTGAAATAGAAAAGATACAAGGGAGCGTTTGGAATAGGGACATGATGACTGAGGGAACTGCAAACAAATTCTCCATAGCATAAGAGATGAAATAGAATCACATGTCGTCTGCAACTGTACTGTTGATTCATAAACCCTCGGCAACAGCAGAAGCCTTCTTGGTAGGATTGTAAACACTAAATTCGCCAAAGTCTCTCCTACCACTGGAAAAAACAGCGCCCGTTATCAGCCCCTTGGCATAGATGAACAAAATTTCAGCACTTAAACATAATTATATAAATCAAAACTCGAGGGAAGCATAGAAAGAGAACAAGCATGTACCTGTGCGTAATATCCCAGCCAGAAGGTAAGAAACGAGGATGAACAGCTTCAACAAATACTTGTCTCCACCTTTGACAAAACTGACGTATACCATCTTCGCCATATTCCTTTAGCAGATGCTCCACAACTTGCTTACCATGTGGACCATGTCCTAGGAGAGACATTTTTGATCTATGTTTAGGTTGGGAAATTGCATCATCTCTGGCATAGTAGACGTCAACTGATCCATTTTGTGCACTACTCTCACAATCACCATCAGCATTTACAACAGATACAAACTGCGTATCAGAGACCCCACTTATATCTGAGTCCATGTTCTGAACAACGTCAGAAGCTTTGTCATCAGACCCCAAATATGAATTTAAAGAGTTGCTGCCTAAACCAACAGCATCCTTCACTATGATAATGTCTCTATCTTCTTTTCCAGTAAATGCTTCTGCTGTGCTGGTACATGATTCATGTAGAGTGTCAACTTCTGACACTTTAACACTGGCACATGCAGACATGGTAACAGTATTTTTCTCCTGCTCTGCATCTGAAGGAACACGCCCTCTAGACTTCCTGAAAAAAAGCCCTTTCTTCTTTTCAAATCGTCTTCTCTCATGAGGACTCATGCCAACCAGTAAAGCACTCTCTAAATCTTCCTCAGATATTTGCCTCCCTCCATAATATCTCATAACAATCTGCAAAGCAAATAAATATTTATTCACATTCACATAAGCTCCTAAAATCAAGAGACTAGCAGTAGTAAAAACCTGTAATGTCAAAATTAACGGAATCAACACAAAAAAACCTGTGGTGTGGCCTTTCACAATCATGGATATTTATACTGAATGAAATGCAAGAAAAAATGAAGCCGTTTTACTAAAGTTCAACCAAGAGTTGTAGCATTCACTGTCCTTTTGCTTTATCCAACCATAATGAACTTATATACCATTGTAATAATTTTTTAAAAATCACGAGCTAAATATACGCTCATGTACCTCTGTCAGTTCGTCACGGCGCGTGGATGGCATTCTTGGTCCATGGCGCAAAAGAGCCATAGCAGCAGTTCGCAATTGTAAAGGAGATACACCTTCCTCCTCAAAAGATGTTGCCGGCACAGATGACTCAGATATAGCTTGAGCTTGTTCTGAAACAACCACTTTACGAACAAAAAGTGGAATCCCATATTCTGCAGCGATCTGTTTTTTGTACTTCTCAGCAGAGGCATGAGCTATTTCGTGACAGTCCACGCATACTAGGACAATATCATGAGAGCGGTGGCTTTTCATATGTTCCGGGAAGTGCATTCTGTAGCATGAGGGAATTATTCGGTACCGTAAGTAATGATTTCTTTCGCCGCAGCCAACACATATATTTTTCTTACTTTGAATGTAAAAATCATTGCCTTCATCTTCTGGACGGCCTTTGGGCTCAAAAAGAAGCATAATGGCAGGTGGATTTTCATCAACAAGTTTCGCCAAATCCCGACGAAGATACCTGTAAGATACAACATTGGTCATGCCAAATGCAATCCATTTTGTGGTAAAAACGTATTAATTAAGAGATATGATTGCCAACCATTCAAGCTTCCTGCGGTCACAGTAACAAAGCAACCGCCCATCATCTGCATAGATCCTGCAATTATGATAAACTGGAGCTTTGCAGGAAAATTTTTGAACAAACAGCTGCCGAGAAGTTTTTCGAGCAACTTTCTTTGAGTATCTGACCCCATTTTGTCTAGAAACTTGTGTCATTTTCAGATTACACTTAATCAGCAAAGCATAATTGAAGATAGACAGTGGACAACTCCCATTTGTACCCAGGCAGTTTTGAAGAATCAGGGGAAAGAAATCATCAGCGTTGCCAATTTTGTTCTGGAGCAGATGATAAAGATCATCCAAATGGCTGCAAACAACTGGGGATGGAGATGAGAGGCCTGAACTCAAACTTGAATCCACAATAGAATCAGCTTGAGCAATGGTAGCTAATATTTCTGTAGGGGTCGTTGGAGCTGTATCTGCAAGGGCAACAATAGCTTGATCTGATATTACATATCTCAAGCTCTCATCATGTACACGAGCCTGGAAAGGAAGTAAATGGCATGTGATTGCTTAAGTATCCAGAAGGCGATCTCAGTACACTAAGGTGCAACATTACAAGATGAAAAACATGAAAATAAGAATGTATGTGTCTAAGTTTCATGAGATTCGAGAGTAGGTACTCTTTGTCCATACTGTAAGTTGTAATGTCAATAATGAAAAAATTAAACAAATAACTGGACAACAGAGTTAAACTCTATGCATCCATCTTTCGACAAAAAAAAAAAATCTATGTATCCATCGTAGCCAAACTTTGGGAAAATGTAATACTAACCATTAAATCTCTCCATGCGCATAATTTGCTCACAGCACCCTGAAACCAAAATACAAACTTTTGCATAATCATACTTGGTTTAATAAGTAACTTTGTTCATTAGAAATGTTACAAGAACCGTACAAGAATCTAGAAAGAAAGGCCAGGAAAAAGAAATTCTAACAAGAGCTGGCCTCTCAATTCCACGACTGAATGCTTGACCACGGAAAAGCCCTACAGTTCCTCTCATCAGCCCAAATGCAGCAAAAAATACCCAATAGGACCACCATCCACAAAGCTTTCTTGGGTCTCTTAACAAAACTACAGTCCCAGTTTAATAAAGGGGAACTCACTGAATCCAAAATACCCAACTCGCTCCCTCCTCCCCCCAGCTAAGGAAAAATAAAGAAAGAAAAAAGCTCCCAAGCTATGAACAATGCAAAAATTGGTGGAAAGCAGATTCAAATGCATTTTTGCATTGATGTGATTTATTGATTATATGCAATACTTTCAAGTGCTTGAAGTGTCAAGAACATCAAAAGAAGCATACCTGGATTTCACAAGAAACTGATGAAATTCCTCTTCGTCCGTTCAAATGGCGGCTAAAAATTGATGATGCAGCAGACTCTCCAGGAGAAGCTTCTATCTCTTTAGTGTACAGTTGCAAACACATCAAGTTTGAACGCCGACTAGCCTCGAGAACAAAATGGAATTTGTCATTGGAACAGGAGTTTTCTGATAGAGTGAGATATTTAGAATTTCAATGCAGTGATTATGAGAAAGGTGTAGGCATAGTTTGAAAAAGGTTATCAACTTGAAATCAGGGCTAAGCAAGAGTTACCATATAACACATGCACTGTGTTTTAGCTTAGTTCATGCTTCATAAAAGATTAATAGATAAGTATCATCACAAATGGTTAACTTCATCATGTCAGAAAACATTCAGAGGTGTGCAGACACACACATACAATGTCAAAAATTGGAATTTACCGGTTTTACTTAATATGAAAACTTTCATCATTTCATCTTATTCAGGTTATGAACTCTCTGGAAACAAAAAGGATCACAGGAGTGCAGACATGCACATACAATGCCGAAGACTGAAGACTGGCATTCACTGGTTCTGGATTTCAATGCTTATAGTATGTTCATGATTCACATGCCATAATCCTTTCATTTTTCATTAAATAAATGTCAAGAAGAAGCTATGACACAAGAAGGAAAGTGTACCATTATCCAGTATTTCCAGCTCAGCAATTAAACAGCGTGAAATATACAGTAAATAGTGTGCATCTGTTCGAGCATATTGCACCATTTCTGTTGACAAGGGTCGTTGCCTCCAGTCTTCGCGCTACAAATCAATATGAGAATGGATAAGAAGCAATATGACATCTCTTATGAGCACAGTAGCTACATCTCAAATCCTTAAAACAAGATTTTCAAAATCTATGTATAATTGTTGGTTAGAAGGAAGGGTTACTACTAACTAAAGTCAAGTTAACCAATTAGTAGAAAATTATAAATTTAAAGAAAGAAGCAAGCAAAAGGATCAACAATAAGACAGCGTCATGGCCAAACCTGTAACAATTTGTTTGTGACTACTCCACAGTAAGATTCAAGTAAATAAGCCAATGATTTCTGTGGTTTTGACAACACTTCGCAAGCCTGCAGTGTATTAAAAAGAACATGAATTGAGTTTTATGTTTATATAATTGAGTTTACATGTCATCTAACACTGATCCAACATAATACAAAAATGACAGCTGACCTTTGCG